TGTTTTACTAAAAAATATGATGATTTTATGTGTGTACTGCTGTTCAAAGCTGTGTTCACTAGTCATGTACTGGCCGCGTTTATGAGCTCAAAATGAGCTAAACTTGTCACTACCAAAAAAGTCACTACTGGCACATTTGGTAAAGTTTGGAAAGCGTTATGATTGTTTTGTAGTGATAAAATTTAACTTGTTTTTTAATAAAGTAAACATAATTAAGGTATAAGGTCATTCAAAGCAAAAGGATTTTAGTTTGAAGTCTAAGATCAATTAACAGTCTGAAATGTGTTTCAGCTCTGACTTTGAACCAGCTCAGTTGAATAATCCTAATGTAGTTCTCTGTAAACTGTCTCTTTCCCTTCTGTGTATATTGTGTAGTACGGCTGTAGAGAGTAATAACCTGAGCCTCACCTTGAGCAAGGCAATGTCCTTGGCATACTGGACACATCTGTGGCAGTTGGCGGTCCAGTTTGGTTATTAACACTATGAAAGGAGCAAAAGTGTGCAAAAGGGTTGGAGTGCATTTAAGTACATTAAATATAGATAAAGAGAAAATACTATGAATTACAATTTTTATGTTTATTAAGGAGCACTTGATTGCTTAAATGGACAAGCTGCCCCTGTTACATATGATAAATAAAAACTTATAATATTACACTACATTAAGTTAATTATATATTTCAAATCACAATTTTAAAAGGCAAATGAGATACATATTTTCTTATTCTTGTCATATTTATTGTACATTTATTTTTTTTCACAATGCTACTATTTGCACTTTGGTAGATGCTAACTGGATTTCATTACCTTGTACGTATACTGAGCAATGACAATAAAGTCGAATCTATCTATCTATCTATCTATCTATGTATCTATCTATCTATAGATACAGAGAACATACTTCTGCACATACAACAGCAAAAAGTATACAACATTTTATCCAAAGTGTTAAACTCAAATAAAAGCAAATAAAAAGAAACAGTGCACTAGAAATTGTAGAACAAATGCCACATTGAAGTATAGAGTGTGTTAACTTATTATAAAATCAACAAAACAAACTTTTGCAAATGATTTTTTGATTTTTTTTTTTTTAGACCTGTTTTCATGAATTAATTTTGCTTTGTTTTAGAAACTCAGGCTCTTTTAAGAAGAATCTTAAGCATTTTCCTTTTAAATGTGTTTTATGAATTTGGTGTGCTATACAAATAAAATGTATTATTATTATTATTATTATTATTATTATATAACTGCATGTTTATATCACTGCTGTCAGAACAAAACCCTTAAATCTTCATTTTTGTTGTTTTTCAGTTTGTGACAAAATGTGAAAATGCTTGTTGTCCTTTACATTGTGTGTATATTTCATGATGAATGGACCAAAAGAAATGGCCCAAAATTACGTGCAAAAAAGTCTTGTTCCAATGACTTCCATTAAAAGTAATGTACGTTTTTTCCTTCTCCTGTAAAGTTATCATTCTTTTGTTTTCCTAAAAAACCTTGAAAGATAAGGAACCAAAGGTGTCTTTCAGTGGAACCACTCCAAGGAACAAAAGTATATTAGTTACACACAAGCACAACAGCTTTGGATGATGCTCAGATGAGAAGCTTGTCGTGTTGCCTGGCATTTGGCAGAAAGTGCACAGAAATCCCTGATCCAGCAGAAGGAGACTGTAACGACGTGACTAAACAGGCCGAAGGACGTGTCTGCATAGCTATAACAAACCATTTTGCATATTTTCTCCCCTCCAACTACAATTAATTTCACTTTCAGCCTCCAAACCCCCTCCCCTTCCTCATCTGTTCTTCCTCTGCCCCATCTGTGTGGTACTGCGCTTTTTCCTCCCTCTCTCTCTCACACACTCCCTTTCTCTCTCGCTCTCCTCTCTCATTTTCTCCAGCGCTCATCGCTCAGTGTCACCGGAGAGCCGCAAGCTGTCGCCCCCCTCCACCCCCCTCCCGACCCCAGGCAGGTTCAGACGGAGGTCAGGCAGGCTGCCTCGGCTGCCGTTTCAGCTGCAGCTGCCATGGCAACAGAAGCAGACAGCACAGACACCAGGGGCTTGTGTCGAATGTAGCACTCCACCAAATATCTCACTTCTCTTCTTCATTCCTTCCGTCTCTCCCTCTCTCTCTCCCTCTCTCTTTCCCTAACTCAAACAGGGCAGGAATGTGGACAAACATACACAAGCTCAGTGCCGTATAAGTGCAAATGCCCCAAAAGGCGAAAGCTGATAATAAGAGTCTTTGGCGGCTGTAATTTCGAGACCTTCGTGAAGGATTAAACAAGAAATCAAGAAATTCTTTGCTGGCCAGCAATGAGACTGTCACCCATATCACACATAGGCATCAAAACACCCCACAGCAGCAGACTTTTCCATAGAAAATGATCTCATCCTTTAACTACGCTAGTGACGATAGTCTGCTGCCGAGCAGGCACCTCTCTTGATGAGGGTCTGCTGATAATACACACTTTACAAAACTGAAGCTCACAAAATGATCAAAGGCTACAGAGAAAGTGTGACTCCTAGCAACCACCTGGAAGACCTGGTAGATACCAAAACTGCCCCCATCAGATAAACAGCACTTAAAGCTTTCATCTTTGAGAGAGAGGAGAAAATCAAGCTGCTTCAGATCTGAAAACATCCACAGGTGTTTCTGTCCCATCCTTCCACTGTGAGAAGACAAGATAGATACAAAGGTATTGGATGGAGCTCCATCACTCCAGAGAACAGAGTTTAACTGCTCCACAGCCCAGTGCTGGGGGCTTTACACACCTTTAGCCCATGCTTGGTTTTGGGCATGATGACCTTAGGCTCATGTGAGGATGCTCCATTCTATAGTCCCCATTCTATTTGTCACTGCTTTTCTATTGAGATTATACAAGCGAACGCAAAGCGCTACACCTTAAGGTAGCTGACGTCTTTGACGTGTAGGGCTGGTTGGATCTTTTTAGACACATATCTATGCCCAAGAGCAGGTTCTGGATCACAAGCAAGCTGTTGCTAGCCAATGAGAAGTAGGAATCAGCTGAGGTCAGAAAGAGTTTGGCTTTTTGTTGTAGGCTGTCAAAGCAAAGGGGCACAAGGACAGGGTCAAAGCTGTGCTAAAGGCCGACCTTTCCTAGAAAGAACGACGAAGAGCAGGGGTTGCGCATGTCTATGAGAAGAGACGAGGGAGGGGGGTCAAATAAAGGACAGTTTGGGGGGGTGGACGCATGAGGGTCCATTAGAAATAAGTTGCACATCAATTCGGGTGTACGCATGATGGAAGAGCTGGATAAAGAGTCTAAAGCCGTACTCCTGTAAAATACTAACTGCAGTGAAATAGTCACTGCAATGAAAGTGTCGATCCAAAAAAACAGCCTGAGTGGAAAAGTAGCAGCTCAAAAAACAACGTGTACTAAATAACTTAAAGAACTGCAGGTCCATCCAGCATCTATCAGCATAGGAACTGCAAATTGTTCAGCTCTATTTGTGTTTTAATCTTTTTGGTCTAAAATAAAACGCTAAAGCTCCAAAGTGGTTGGAGGGATCAACAGTGAAGCAGACGAGGAGTTGAACCAGCACAACAGAACAAAGTTTAACCCAAAAAAGAGAATTAGGAGCTAAAATAAAGACTAAAAAGGAACGGAGGAAAAAACAGATCACTTTCTTCACTAATAGACTTGAGCAGAAGTAAAAGTATGTCTAATAGTTAAAGGCAACATTAAAACACCAAAAATATGTTTTTTTTTCTGATTCATATTCAATATTGATATTTCATTTTATTGCCCTTTCCAGTTTTCTGTTTTTCTCTCATTGAAATTCTTAGTCTCGTCTGCATGTTGCTACCAATATTTTAGCAAAATACCTCAATAGTGACAAATGTGATGATAATTATGAAGAAAAAAAGAAAATAACTGCTGTAACATAAGTCAATGAATGATCATAGTGTGGTAAATACATATTAATAACAGAGCGAAAACATGATCATTTGCCACATAAAATGGGGCAGCTTAGTGTTTCTTTCTTTACTTTGTTTTGTTTAATATTATAGGCTATGCATTGACTGACTGAGTGACTGATTGATTGATTGATTGATTGATTGATTGATTGATTGATCGATCAATCGATCGGACAACTATCCTGCAATGTCACCAAAATGATCTCATATCAGTTTCAAAACGTCACCACCTAAATTTGCTGTAGGGAGTAAGATGTTTGACTGCACGTTCCCAAAAGCTCTGAGTGAAAACAATGAACACACTTAAAAAGATGGTTCTTCAAGGGTTTTCTAGTGAAAAAAAGGTTCTGTATGGAACCATGAACACTCAAAGAACCCTTTGTCTAAGTAAAGGGTTCTTCGCATAGTCAAAGTGTTCTTCAGATTGATGGAGACCGTGTTTTATATGGTTCTATACAGAAACTTTTGAAAAGGGTTTTATATAGCACCAAAAAGGGTTCTTGTATTGTTACAGGCTAGACATCGTAACACTAGAAGAACCCTTTTGGTGCTATATAGAGCCCTTTTCAAAAAGGTCCTATGTATAAGCATCTAGAACACATTCTCCATCAATCTGAAGGGCCTTTTAATGATGCAAAGAACCTTTTAATCATGCAAATGGTTCTATGAGTGTCCATTGTCCTTCATAGAACCATTTTCTTTACTAAAGAACCCTTGAAGAACCATCATTTTTAAGAGTGCAGGCTTGACATCGTAACACTAGAAGAACCCTTTTAGCGCAATATAGAAGCCTTTTCAAAAAGGTTCTGTACATAACCATCTACAGCACATTCTCCATCATCAAAGGTTCTATATAGAACCATTTTCTTTACTAAAGAACCGTTGAAGAACCATCTTTATAAGTGTGAAACTCTGTAACTAATAACCTGTTCAGTAATAGGTTAATAATAGATTAATGCCACTCCTGCTTGCTCTTTTTCCTCTTCTCTCGTTCTTCTTCAGCACTTATGTGTGCCATTACTGGCTCTCGATAAAAGTCGCCCACAGATGGTGCAGTAAATGAATACACAGAGCTCGTCATCATGCAGCCTCTGAAATTCCAGCTAGAACTACATCTCCCAGAATGCAATGCGCCCCCGGAGTCCCTTTGTTGCCGGAAAGCTACATCGAAGAATGATAAAGCAGCATGATTTCTCGAGGTAAAGGGCGATTTTTGTGTAACTGCGAGCGAAAAATGGGTATCTGTTATGGCCGATTAGCTGCAACATTACTTTTTTAAATTTAATCTAGCTAACTTTGCTTGTGGCTCTACGAGACTTGTTTTATCATCGAGCTAAATGAGCTAAATGAGCCTTCGCGTCTACAGTGATTTACAGTTATTTCGGTTTGAAATGAAAACAACTTAACCTTGCTTCGTCGTGCAGTAGTTCAGTTTAGTGGTGTTGATTAGGGGCTTAAAAAGAAAATACCTCTCAAATTGCTTTTTGCTGGTTTACTTGGACCGCTCAAGTGAAGTCAGCTTCTTAATCGCCAGCTTCTTGTTCGAATGTTCCCGTTCCACCTTAAATACTGCACCATTTAAGGTGGAACGGGAAACTTCTAACATAAAGCTGACTTCAGCTTCAAATTCTGCCTATGTACGGAAAAAGTTTGTTTTCTTCATTTTGTTCTTTTAGTTCTGTTTTTCAAAATGTTCTGCATAATTTAGTGTTTGAGATGTGAACACTCAGTGGTTTGGTGTGAAATGGTCCAGATGTCTTTACAGTGGTGGTGATAGGAACCAGGGGTCACCATGAGTACAACACAAATATATACATTCATCATCCAAAACCACCAGTGAACCTACACGTGTCTTCTGAGTTTTATATGTAATGCTGATGATGGCATATAGTGTAAAATCTAAAATAATAAGTCTTCTCTGGGGACTGTTTTGCCTTACAGTGCCCTGCATGTATTCCTCTACCATGATGGATTAAAATACATTTTAAGCCAAAAATGTATCTCAAAATGATCATAAAACCATGTTTCAGACATCAGGCAGCATAAACATAAGCATTTCATTTACTAACTGTCTGTGAGGGAGCTTTTAGAGGTGGACGTCTGGTTCCTATCACCACTACTGTGAACAATTCTGACTCGATAAGTTCCTCTAGAACAGAGCATTTCACACCAAACCACTCTGAATGACTGTTTACATCTTAACCATTTAATTATGTAGAATTTTTAAAAAATTGCTGGAGTTCCTCTTTGAACGTAGTGATATTTTCTGTATCACAGTATGAGATGATATTTGAGTCAGCTTTAATAATGTCAGTGAACTCATGCTTCCTGTCGGTCCTACAAACTTGACAGAGTTTTTTCCGATTGGACTGCTTTGTTGTCTTTTTTTCGCTTATAATAGCACTATAAATAATCTTACACAGTTTTGTAGATGTTAACCAGACACAAATCACATTTCCAGAAAGGAAACATGCTGTTAATTGGGTATATATGTACTTTAAGCTGTTCTTTCAAAACAATCTGAAACACCCAGCGAATAACATATATGTAGTTAAAGGGCAATTTTGATGATTTTTACAAATTCCTGCTAAATTAAATGGTTAAGATGTAAACAGAGTCGTTCAGAGTGGGTTGGTGTGAAATGCTCTGTTCTAGAGAAACTTACGGAGTTAGAATTGTTCACAGTGGTGGTGATAGGAACCAGACATCTGAAAAGTCTGGTTCTGTCTGAAATAAAACGGATGCACAGCTCTGGTCCTGGAGGGCCTGTGTCCAGCAAAATTTGGTGATTTCTCTACTTATACACAACCTGGCAGTAACAATTTCAATACAGTGTCGAACAAATGATAAAATGATAAAAGATGAACCTGGAAATATGTCTGTTGTTAGTACATATTTGAGAACGATTGTTTCATATTAAACAATTCCTTTTATGTGCACCAGTAGGCTGGATAATGGAGACGCAGAGCAGGAGGGGAAACTCCCAACAGCAGACCCCAGCTCACTCAGGATCCCCACCTCGATGCCAGATGGCTTTTTCCAGAGCGCCACTGCAGCAGCCCGCTTTCTTCGGGCTGAACTGGAGCTCAGTGCTCGTCTGCGAACTCTGACCTTTGGAGATCCAATACGATATACCTACAACCCACTGGAATATGCCTGGGACACACATCGCTGCTACGTGGAGACGTACTGCCGCAGCGGTCAGAGCGTTCTCTTTCTGGGAATGAACCCGGGACCCTTCGGAATGGCCCAGACAGGGGTAAGAGGAGCCCCCTAGATGGGAAATACAATACCTATCGAAAAGTGTCCAGACTGCCCTTCTCATAAGTGGTATCAACTACTTTACCATGCATCCACGGCTGACAACGGTGCCATGGTTCAGTTTCTGAACTTAAATTAAATCTCAGTTCACATATCTGTGGTCCGTATTTTACTGACTAACATATTAATAAGCTACAGTGCTATATGAAAATGAAAGAAACGTTAAAGAAATGCTTCAGTGGTTTTCAATCTGGTATTTATCTGTCACATCTGTAGGCTGTGGTCAGTTACCACAGACAGTGATTTTTATGGGTATCCCTGTTGAGAAAACTTTTTGTTTTTGAGTTGAGTTCAAACTTTTAACAGGGGCCAGTGGGCAGCTGCTGAATTCTGAATTCTGCTGAATGTGTTTCTCTGTGAGTAGGTGTTTATAAAAAAAAAAACATTTACTTGATGAATTCATGAATTCTTCAGTCAAAGGTACGAAGAACTGATAAAATCAGCAGTAATTTTGTATCATTTGTTCCCAAATGTCGTTTTTACTGTGCTATACAGCTTTGCTCATATCTACCTGTAACAGGACGGGTTGGGTGGTATTATGGTAAGAAGGTGTACCGCAGTATTTAAAAATGATAACAGTACTTCAAAATTATGATGTGTCAAATTGCTGTTCCATGCCTGAATAGCTAAATAAACACATTTCACCCATTTATATTATATATGAGTGGTGGTGTGGAGGCTGATCAATAGGTGGCCCATTGAAAGTGGGGAAAAATCAGAGGCAGCAAAACCTCAGAAATTCTAAACATGATAGCAGGTCAGCGACAGCTAAGAGCTCCACTCACCACAGAACACGCTCAGGTTTCACTCCAACACCAGTCACTCAAATCTGCGCTCTCAGATATCCTCTAAACAGGTGTCATTTTGTTTGCTGAAACCAAGCCTTTGCTGTGCTGTGCGTCACGTTTAGCCTGCTAACTAAGCCATCGTTAACTTAGCCAAAGCGCTACAGTCACAAACACCACAGCATAGGTTCAGTTTCGGCTTTCTGTCACTTCAACACCAGCCACTCGACTCTGCGCTCTTAGATATCCTCTACACGGGAGTCATATTAGCTTCATTTAGCTGGAACCAAGCCTGTGCTGTCTGGGACATTTGGCCTGCTAACTAAGCCATCGTTAGCTCAGCCAAAGTGCTACAGTCACAAAGGCCACAGAAGAGGTTTGATATTGGCATGGCCAACACCCTTCACTCCACTTTTACTCTCCCAGACATCAGTTTTTATCATCTACACTTGTGTCAGCACCTGTACTGTGATGTGTGGTTCTTTTTGTGTCTGTAGCATGATTGCTAAGCTAATGTTGGAACGAAATTATTTTGAAAAACACAGAAGTGTTCTAGCAAGAACCAGAGGTCCTGCATGAAAGTTTAATCCTTTTTCTACTTCAAGGTACCATTTGGTGAGGTGAATGCTGTCCGTGATTGGCTGAAGATCACAGGGGAGGTGGGCCACCCAGCTAATGAGCACCCCAAGCGGCGGATCAGCGGCCTGGCCTGCACTCAGAGCGAGGTGAGCGGTGCGCGCTTCTGGGGCTTCTTCAAAGAGCTCTGTGGAGAACCAGACCACTTCTTTCGCCACTGTTTTGTACACAACCTCTGCCCGCTGATCTTCATGCGTGAATCCGGGAAGAACCTGACTCCACCTGAGCTACCGGCAGCAGACCGGGACGCCCTTCTGTTGCACTGCGACGCTGCGCTGTGCCAAGTGGTCAGCGTCCTGGGGGTCTCTATGGTAATCGGAGTGGGCAAAGTCGCTGAACAGCGAGCTCGTCGAGCTCTTACTGAAGCTGGCATCTCTGTAAGGGTGGAGGGAATCATGCACCCTTCCCCAAGGAACCCACTGGCCAATAAAGGCTGGGCAGCTGTGGCCAGAACCAAATTACAGGAGCTGGGGGTGTTGAGTTTGCTCACCAAGTGACTGCTTCTACCTCAGCTTTCACTCCTTCAGTGCTTAAGGACATTCTGACTGTACATTATGTTTGATTTCAGTGCAGGAAAACAGCATATGTGCATGCACATGCTAAATCATATGGTGGCTAGTTTTGTATAGTTTAATAGTTATAATGTGAATATTCTTTTATGTTTGAACAGAGCTGTAAAAGAGGTAATGATTTTTATGTAGAAAGAGAGTGGAGGCTCTTCTACGTTTATTCTTCACGTTTTGTTGTTGTCATAACAAAACCTCATATGAAATGGGAACTTTATAGGAGAAGGAAAAACGTCCTTAACTTTAATGTAGCATGACTTTATTCCAAATTATTTTGGACCATGAATCATTCGCACAGTGTAAAGTGCAGTTTTCAGTACAAAAAAATAAAAATAAAAATAAAAATCACTTTTAAAGTTTGAATATAAAAGTGATGCTTTACACTTTTATTTTTAAGGTTCCTAAGGCAGTCTTCTTAAGGTTATGCACAATAATAACACGTTCCACTTAATGGGCCCATGTCCTACACTTTTTTGTACTTTTCCCCCAGAGGTCCACTTTTTGTGACTTTATGCACCAAAAAACAGTCATAGTTGATTTTACATGGCCATTTCCCACTCTGTATCTCCCTTATAATCAAACAGACTGTTTTTGTTATTATGCCTTTAAGATTGCTCTACGTAAATAAGCTCTGCCTCATTGAAGAAGCAGCTTGGGTTTGGACGTGGTATGTTTTCAAACTATAGCAAACTTTAGCAAAGTACTTCAAATTCTTTTCTATTAAAAAAAGGACATCTTACTTTTCCATGACATGGGCCTTTTAAATAAGAGCTTCACGTCTCTGGATTGGAACTGATTTTGATATGCACGTGTTGATGATTTGGAACTGGAGGATTCAGCGGATAAGCTTATGTTGCATCATGGTTAGGTAGTAAGATGTACAAAGTTGTGTGTTTTGTTAAAAAAATGTCACATTTAAGGAGAATGTAGAAACTGACCATGTGCTCACACCTGTATTTGTGCGATGGTCTTATCTGGTGATCGGAAAGATGCAGGCAGATCAGCAATATGGGCTGGAGCTGCATAACATCTGAAATATATATCATCTGTTAATCATTGTAATGATGTTAGCCTTTGCAATAATATGAAAATATAGGAATATCATTGAATGTTTTTTTTTTTTGTTTATACAACAGAGAAGAGCACTCAGATTTGTGTCAATGTCAAATATTATTTTTTTTTGGCATTAAAAGTCTAACTGTATTATATTCACTGCATGTATTGTCCTGCAAATCCCATTATGGAAAGCAGTGTACCATTGTATGTGCACCAAGTTAGAAAGAAATCAAAACTGTGCTTTTGCATGAGCAAAACGCAAACCTGTATCTTCTCCTCGTGTTCCTTTTGCAATAAGTTCCAACGCCCCCAAACTCTCCTTTGGGTAAAACATGCTGTCTGTCATTTTTCTTTGTTAGCAGGTGAAGTCAGGGACCCTCGAACACTGGCATTACTTTCCTCTTCCCTTCAGGGCAGAAAGGAAGTGGTATTATGCTGTTTGTTTTGCTTTGCTTTGTGACGATGGATGGACTGCACTCGTCCTCTGTTCTCTTCCACTGTTGGGTGCAGGTGGGTCGAGAGACGGTGTTTGTTCTTTCTGTCGAACAAGGGGTCTTGTGAGAGGGTGATGAAGAGGGGATGCGTGAGTGTGTGCATTACACCTGATTTGGTTTCAAACACACATGTCAATGCACCTGCTTGGTTACCAGCAGCCATTCCTCTGCTGTTGCTTTTATTTTTTGGAATTCTAATACACAGAACTACGGTATGTACCAAGTTGCCAGTTTTTAAGCTACATCTACCTTGTACCTACGCTCACCGGCCATTTTATGAGAAACACCTTCATTTTACCTATACTCACTGGCCATTATATCAGAAACACCTTCATTGTACCTACACTTACTGGCCACTTTATTAGAAAGACCTTAATTGTACCTACACTCAATGGCCATTTTATCATAAACACCAACCTTATACCTCCACTTACTGGCCACTTTATCAGAAACACCTACCTTGTGCCTACCCTCAGTGGCCATTTTATTAGAAACACCTACCTTGTGCCTTCCCTCAGTGGCCATTTTATTAGAAACACCTACCTTGTGCCTTCCCTCAGTGGCCATTTTATTAGAAACACCTACCTTGTGTCTTACTCTACTGGCCTTTTTATTAGAAACACCTACCTTGTGTCTACTGTTACTGGCCGCCATAAATTAAGATTAATTAAGATTAAGTGACCCTTATTTGTCCCACAACGGGGAAGTTTCACCTCTGCAATCACACTTGCCCAGAGCAGTGGACAGTAGGGGGTTAGGTGCCTTGCTCAAGGGCACCTCAGTCACGTACTCACGGAAGGTCGCAAGGCTGGTTGCCTGCACAAGGTGAATAAACACATCAGAATACAAATACAAAATGCAAATACTGCAGTAAGTATCAAGAAAGTCTACCTAAAAAAGGATGCAAGGTCTTAGTGGGACTGGTGGTTTATACTGTGCCAGTTATGTGTAACTGTAATCACTGCACAGTATAATAAAAGTAGTTGTGATAAAATGACCAGTGTGTGCAAGTCCAAAGCAGGTTTACCATTATACTGGTACGTCAGTCAACATAGAATGTGCTGTATAACACAGTGTTGATCTATCTGTCTCATAAACATGCATATCGGATACAAAACATCTGCAGTCCAAATTAAAAAGTAAATGGCTTACGCAAATGTTCTTCCTCACCCTCTCCATTTCTGCTTGTTGCTGAAATCTCCCAAAGGCTGAGAGCTTGCACATCTCCTTAATGACTGCCATCTCTCTCAGTTTTGTGTCGCGTTATTAATTAGCCTGATGAGCCTTGCCAGTGGCTGATGGGATTTGCTCTGTAGCACAGAGTTCCTAACAGTGTGAAAAGCACACAGAAACAGCCTTTCTATCAGCCCTGCTACGAGCACTTATACAGCGTATTGATGGAAGTAGGAATGCATGATATGTTGTGTGCTAATCACTGCAATGATGTTGTACTTGGCTCTGTTGATATGGCAGTAGACTGCAGTCTTCTAACATATGACAGTTCTTTTATATTTTATAATACGAGCACTATGACCAGCCTCAGATTAATACACTGATCAGCCACTTCATTATAACCACCTCCTTGTACCTACACTCATTGTCCATTTTATCAGCTCCACTGACCATATAGGAGCACTTTGTAGTTCTACAGTTACAGACTGTAGTCCATCTGTTTCTTTGCACCCTGTTCTTCAATGGTCAGGACCCCCACAGAACAGGTATTATTTGGGTGGTGGGTCATTCTCAGCACTGCAGTGACACTGACGTGATGGTGGTGTGTTAGTGTGTGTTGCACTGGTGCGAGTGGATCAGACACAGCAGTGCTGCTGGAGATTTTAAACACCTCAGTGTCACTGCTGGACTGAGAACCAAAAACATTCAGCCAAGAGCGTCCTGTGGGCAGTGTCCTGTGACCACTGATGAAGGACTAGAGGATGACCAACACAAACTGTGCAGCAGATGAGCTATTGTTGCAAGTACTTGAAATATTCAAAATGACATCTACAGTCACAATTTGTTGTCTAGTTCACAGTAAATCTGAGTTGTATATGTTATTATTGTATATATAACAACACAACATAAATTGTTAATATGAAAAGTGAAATCCAACTTTACTTATATTTATGTTGTATTTATAGCAAAAACCTGCAATGTGGCTTTTTCCCCCAAATTATTCAGCTCTAATAAACCTCTGAAGTTTTCCTAAAAAGTAATTTAATAGATACATGACATTATTCAACAACATGTCTTTAATGTGAAACTGTTTCACTGCATCCATATAAAACTAATTCGTTTCTTTTCAAGATGGTTTCTTTAAAAAAGATTATAAACATATTCAAAGACTTTTATTTTGACATGCTTTTACAAAAGTGGGGCATTGCATCATAAAGAACACTGAAAGTGATCGTGCAATGCCAATGTCAGTAGCCCTTTCACAAATTTGGTAAAAAAAAATGTGATTTTTGAGACGTGGTTACAATGGTTCAGTTTACCTTCTCAGGTGTCCTGACCTCAGGAGAACCATGAAAATGTGGAATTATTATAATAATGTTTATTTATTTGAAAAACAATGTTTATTTGAGTATAAACTCAAATTCAAGGACAAAAAATTCTATGAGTGTCTAAGTAGACACCTGTTTCATTTAAAATTGGTCTGAAAAGTCAGGAGGTGCAACCAATGGAGCAACCAGACCAACATAGTTTGATAACTGAAATAGACAATTAAAAGCTTTGATATCACTCAACATATTTAAGATAGAAAATGCACAGAGATATAAATGCAAATATATAGAAATATATAAAATACACACCATGTTCTTTTTAATAAGGATTTTTGAAATCCTTATTTGTCATTGGCCCAAGCAGGTTCGTAAGGTTGATAATGAGCTGAAACATGAATAATGCTACATACTATTCAGCACTGTTTTATACCAAAACCAGCTACTCCTAATGTTCTCGACTACTGCCAAGGCAGCTTAACTACCACAGTGGACAAAGCTGGCTGGTTTGTTTGGGGTATTTTAGTAAGGTCAGTCTTATGATGTCTATTCAGTGTGTGCCACTGTAGCTCGCATGTAACAATATTTATATTTTAGCTCCTTAATGACCTCATAATACAGAGGTTTTGGTGCTGCTTGGAGGAAAAGTGTCTGTCTGGCAAAACATATCAGATTTGGAATGCTTTTGCTCAGTGATTTTCAGAAAAAACTTTCATTTTTCCCATAGAGAAAACAAGCTTAGACCCAAAATCCCTTGTATGGGCATAAAGGAGACTACAGAGTGATAACATGACTTCAGAGGTCAATGTGAAGGTGAGCTTGACTTCTTCCTCTTGTTGTATTCCATCATGGTTTTTTCATCTTTTCACCATTTGAGAACTTCCATTGGTAGATGCTGATGAAAATGACATCCTCATATCAAACCCAGATGGCACCTTTTGGATTTCGCAGCACGACCAAAAGACTGTAATGGACGGAAAAGAATGACCTGCCCAGCAATGTCACCACCTACACTGTGATCTATAGAAGATTTCTATTCCAAACTCATTTATGTATCTATAGCGTTCGTGCCAGCTTTGTATGTTTTTGACAGTGTGACCTCTGGACGACCCCATGAGCAGCACGCGAGGTGAAGACTGGGGGGGGTTGTGCCGGCGTTAGATGGCTGATGGTTGTCAGAGCCATCAATACCATGATGAATGGAGGCGTGGGTTATTAAAGCAGAATTAGAGCAGGGAGGGGGCAGCCGCCGTGATAAATGGAGAGGCGTGGAGATCCACAAGAGACAGACAGAGAGAGGTGGTGGAGAGAGATGGAGGCAGAGAGAGAGACATGGTCAAGAGAGAGAGGGTTGGAAAGTGGTAAACTGAAAGAGAAATGAGAGAGCAAGAGAGAGAGAGAGAGAGATGAAGATGGGGTGGAGAGGGCACAGAGGATGGCACGAAGGAGGCATCATCATTCTTTATTATTCTCCCGGGCGGTATGAGGTAGAGGGAGGGAACCGCACAGGGCAGGATGCTAAAGTGATGGAATAAAAAAGAGAGGAGAAGAAAGAAGGAAACAAGAAGGAAAACCTTGAGTGGTCATAATTCAATCCAGCCATAATAATAACAAAAAATCACTATAAGAGGGCAAAACCAGATGCACCTGTTTTACTAGGTCTTTTTTCTTCATATTTTAGTACAAAAATAAATATATCAAATTGATGGCCTGTGTCAAAGCATTCCATTATGTTGATTCATAGATAGATAGATAGATAGATAGATAGTTTTCTAGATAGATAGATAGATAGATAGATAGATAGATAGTGTCTATCTGAATGCTGACAGATGGAATGCTGACATACAGACAGACTGACAAACAGACAAATGTATAGATAAAAAGATAGACAGACAGACAGATAGACATATAGGTAGATCAATAGACATACAGACAGACAAATAGATAAATGTATACATAGATAGATAGATAGATAGATAGATAGATAGATAGATAGATAGACACAGGCAGATAGACATACAGGTAGATCAATAGACAGACAGACAGACGAATAGATAGATAGACAGACAGACAGAAAACCAGAGAGACAGACAGACAGAAAACCAGACAGACAGACAGACAGACAGACAGATAGATAGATAGATAGATAGATAGACAGCCAGATAGATAAATGTATAGATAGATAGATAGACAGAAAACCAGACAGACAGAAAGACAGACAGACAGACAGACAGATAGATAGATAGATAGATAGATAGATAGATAGATAGATAGATAGATAGATAGATAGATAGATAGTTTTCTGTCTGTCTATCTCTCTGTCTGTCTGTCTATCTATCTATCTATCGACAAAATGGAATGCTGACAGATGGAATGCTGACATAC